CGGCCGGGGCCGTGGGGGCCCTCGACGGCGGCGCCGGCACGAGCGGGGCCGGCGGCGCGTGGGGGCTGCGCGCGGGGGCGGGTTCGCGCGGCGCCGCGTCCCCCCGGGATGTGCAGTCGTTCAAGGTGCGCGTGAGCGACTCCGGCAACACCAGCAGCGACGAGGAGCCGGCGGGCAGCCCGCAGCTGGAGCAGCGGCAACCACTGCTGCCGTCGCCCGGCGCGCGTGCGCTGCGCAAGTAACGGACGCCGTCCTCGCCGCCTCAACAGACGGCTGCGCTGCTGCCAGCCGCAACAGCCGTGAGACGTGGGTGCGACGGAAGTTGCACCCTGCTCGCTCGGCGTGACGCGTGACGCATGAGAGCATGCAACAGCTTATGCTTCTGTATGCACATGTAGTGCTTTGTCCCATTGCGCTTGCCTCACCCCCTTTCCTAGCGGTACGCCGTACAGCGCCTTGCCAACGCTGCGGCGCGAGACTGCTATGCACATACCGGCGAGCGGCAAGCGACGCTGTGGCCCGCTGCTGCATTGAGCGGGGCTCTTGGCGCGGCTTTGCCTGACATTCTTCCTCCGTTCCGCAGCCTTGGCGCATCAAGAGCAGGGCTAGTGGTCGCTTGCGCCGTCGCGAGCGCGCCTCACTTTGGCCCGGCTTTTGGGTGCATGCCGTGGCACCCGTACCCCCGCTCCAATTTGTACGTCCACCACTTGGCTCTGTTTGTGGGGATCCGTTCACATGCGCATCCACATTCACGCCGAATCATGTGCCCATAGCTCTGTTCACAAACACCCGAGCTTCACATGTGTAGATTGAAGTGTAAGATTGCCTGCACAACACGTCTACCTCTACACCTGGAACCGCTGTGCAAACCGCCTCGCCGCTGAGTCAGCAGCTGGCAACAAACTGTGAGGCAAGTGCAGCCTCAGCTCACAAGTGCCTCCGGTTGTTTGCCGCCTGAGCCGGCCCCATTCACTTCAGGAACGCAATCACCATTTTGCTGCTGCTCAAGGGCCGCCCCCTCTTCAGCACAGCTTCTGTCCAGATCCTCCTCTTCCTCCGCTGCAGCCTCCTCCGCCGCCCCATCGTCGGCCGTCCTCCCGGCCCGCGTCAGCGCCGCTGCGACTGCCGCCCTCACCTCCCCCGCCGCACATGCCCGCCGTTGCGCATCGCGCCCGCGCCAGCCACGCATGAATGCGCGCGTGTGCCTTAGTGTGATGCTGCCTCCGCCAACCGACACATCCGCCTCGCTCTGAGCTTGCCGGTTTGCGGCCTCCACCATCGCCTGCGGCGGATGCCTGGTGCTGCAGCTGCCGTTTGGTGCAAGTGCAGGATCCAGGGAGCCGCGAATCAGCTCCTGCCCCAGCACGGCGGTGTGCCGCCGCTTGACTCGCCCTCCCCAACTGCACACGCGCCCCGATGACAGCACCGCCCGCTCCCGCGCCCGCGCTGCCTCGCCCGCCGCCGCATCTCCGTCTGCGGCGTCTGCCGCTGCTGCGAGCGCCCTGATTCGGCGCAGGTCCTGGCGCAGCTGCTCGGCAGCTGCGTGCTGCCGGTGCACATCGTCCAGGGACGTCGAGGCTCGCTCTCCAGGGGTCAGGCTCCCAAGTGCTGGCGTGGTCGAAGAAGAGCTCGTGTGGGCCGTTCTGAGGGCCGCATGAGTGCCTCCTGCTGCAGCCCAGGCCGCTGCGCCCTTGGCGGCTTTGACGTGGGGTCCCCGTGCTGGGGATTGAAAATGGCTCGGCACAGGGTGCTGTGTTTGACAAATTGTGTAGGGGTGAGAGGGAGAGACGAGACAGGAATTGGAACATGCGAAGGAATGCATAGTGCTAGCGGCCAGATCAAAAGGCGTTAGACAGCTGCCTGTCAAGACCCCGCGCTCCGCTGCCAGCGGCGCGCCATCGGCATGCGGGTTCAGCACAGGGCGGCGTCGCACCTTTGGCGCGCTCAGCGCTTGCAGGGAAGTGGCACCCCCCGCATGCCTGCACGCGCCGACCGTCAGGCCCCGCAGGGGGCTATACAGCATTGCCTCTGGGGCCTTGCACAGGCCCCCAAGCCGCTTGTCTGCCGCTGTGCCGGCGGCGCTGCAGCTCTTGGGTCGCGACAGCAGGACGACCTGAGGCCTTGGCGGCGGCGTCGTTACAAGCGCACCTCTTACACGGCACGGCCGCTCATCTTCAACCATCTAGTACTGTATCGATTTCTTTGGATCTTCGGTTTGATCGCTGTGTTACGTATATGGATTGCGCGATTCAGCCTCTCGGCAATCGCAGGAATCGCAGCTGGTATTCAGACGTGTTACTCATTTCAAGACTGACACCGTGTACCCTTCAATGCCACGCCGTGATCACTGTGCCAGGTAGTGGTGCAGTCAAACATGCAGTCAGCCGAGAGCAGCTCCAAGGTAAAGTGCGCATGTGTTCATGCAGGACACATTAGAGATTCAATTGGTATTTTATGTGTCACAACCGTAAGCCGTGGTCATACGAGGCGGTTCGGCAGCCACACACGTGTCACCAAGCGGCGTCACCCTGGAAGCGGGTGCCGCGCAAGCACAAGAGAGGGCACGTACTTATCGCATGTCAAATGAAGAACATTTGATAAGCCTGAACCGTCAACACTTTACAGAGGAACGAGCGGCAATTACGCTGGCAAACTTGCGATCTACGCTGTGACATCACGCTTCAGGCATCGCATAGGGTTGAGAACATCACACACATGCGTTCATTGGAAGGTGGACCCTCGCGGAGCTCTGGAGCAGCGCTCAGACCAACGCGTGGCTCGGTAGCAAGTCCATTCGGCCTTGCACTGCGCTCGATTGGACGTCCAAGCGATCTCACCTCGAGGGCTAGGCGCCGCTCGGCATGCGTAGTGACAGTGCACGCAGCAGGTGAGCGACGGGTGCCTGTTGCAGCAGTGTGTGCATGAGCATCTGGACCATGTCAAGCCGTGTGCAGGAGTGCGCGCACACGGTCGAGCTGCAGGCCCGCGGCCAGCACCAACGCTGATGTGGCCCATGTTTAATGATGACCCGCAGCGGACGGGATCAGCGTCGGCAAGGCCGCCTGGGTCGAGCGCGGCCCCGGCGGCGTGCCGCCTGCTCCAGGCATCACTAAAACCGATGACGACTTTCAGCAGCTGGGCGTTGAATTCCTCTCCTCCGCGGATGGCATAGATTTGTCTGAGCTCAATGAATTGTTCGAAAAGGCGAGCGGCGGCGGTTGCCGTGGAGGGCATCAGAGGGGTCCGGCAAGGGCGCCAAGTGACGTGCGCGACTGCTGGCGCGCTTGCTCATGCCTCGGCATTGCGCTGGAATGCGGCCTGCGGCGCCCCTCTTGCCAGAATTGTGCTGTTGGCAGTAATACTCCATTTGCAGAGTGATTAAAGCACTCAATCCTTCCCCAACCCCAGCACGACCGCTACTCGCAGCGAGTTGCAACCTGCAGGTTGCTCACTCCCCCACCGCCACCCCACCCCCATCCCCCACAAAGGTGGGGTTCCCGCGGCGCGAGCCCGCGCGGCTGCGAGTGGCCCTGGAGAACACGCACCGAATCGTCTGGGTGCGCTCAAGCAAGCAGAGCCGCGTGGCGCGGCTGGGGCAGCTGCTGGGCTTCGCGCGGGCCACCAGGTGCGGGCGGCTGCAACAGCGGCGTTGCCCTCCAAATGACTGCTGGCTTGTTCTCTGGCTGCCGAGCTGGCATCGTGCAGGCCCCTCCTGAGACCATGCGGTCGTTTTGGCATGCTGCCGCTCCGTACATCGGAGGAGCCCCACAGCGCTCTCGCTGCCCCACCCGAGGACTGGAAGCGGGGTGCGTTTCACAGCACTGCTCGCTGGCACAGCATGTGAACGCAGCAGACGTCTGCACTAGTGCACTCGCATGCCAGGGTCCAATGCTCTCGCAAAGACTGAAGCACTGGAAAACACATCTATTCGTTGCCTGCACCCCCTCACGGCACGTCCCAGTGACGGCGTATTCAGCGCGACCATCTGGGATGTCGCGGTTGCGCCCGCCTGGCAGCGCAGCGGACTGGGGCGCGCCATGATGGAGCGGCTGACGGCGGGGCTGGTGGAGGACGGAATACCCACCATCACGCTGTACGCGGAGCCCAAGGTGTGCGAAACTGCACACGCATATGCACGCACACATGCTCGCGCGGACACACACACACACACACACACACACACACACACACACACACGCACGCACGCACGCACGCACGCACACATACATGCACGCGCACACACGCACGCACGCACGCACGCACACACACACATTCACACACGCGCACGCGCGCGCACGCACGTGCACCTCGTGCGCTGCCGCAATTCTTGCTGCAGGTGGTGGGCATGTACCGCAAGCTGGGCTTCAGATCTGACGTGGATGGCATCAAGGGGATGGCATTCCAGCGAAAGGGTGGCCCCAAGGACCAGCTGCAGCGGGCGCCCGCCAGCCGGCGGTGACAGCAGCAGCCCAGCCCCAGCGCGCCGCCCTTGCGAGGCCCCCGCGCAGGCGCCGACCAGGCATCGGCGCGCGCGCACCGACGCTTTGCCGGGGCTGGGGCTGGCTCTTGCGCCTGTTTGCTGGCTTTGCGCTGGCGGCTAAGTGTATCTGAAAGCCAATCCGTCCCTCGACTGGCAACTTAGAGAGTGATGCTTTCGCTGCGTTGACACATGTTACGTTGGTTAGTGGACGGCGCCGCCGCACCATGCGCAGCCGCCGTGCATAACAGGCGGCAGCGGTCGAAAACAAGCACGATAAAGGGAATCAAAGAATTAAGAGCAGGTGCAGACAGGCTGTTTGTGCCGTGGGGGTTGACGAGCCATGTGGTGGGAGCTAACGAGCCATGCAAGAAAGATGGAAGGAAGAGTGCCTGTGGAAAAGCTACGGCCTGCTGCAGGCCATGCAGTGCGGCGCCCCGACCACGCCACATGTTCCGATACGGCGTGCCGCGACACAACCAGGCCCGCAGCCGCAGCAGGCACTCGCGCAGCGACCGCATCATAGATGGGTGTGCACGCCCGGGCAGGGGTTGCGCGGCAAGCTCAGCGCCGCGGCCTCCCGCAGGGCACCTCGCATCACGAGCAGGAGCTTGCGCTGCACCCGCAGGCGCTTCCGATGGGTGGCTGATCGCGACAGATGCCGCGGCCTGCGGATGCTTGCTGCTGATGATGACCATAAGACAGGAGCCACACCACTGTGCTGCTGGCGGCACAAACGTCGCCTCACCACAGTTGCCGGGCACCACGCCCTCCATCTGCCACGGCCATCAATGCACCCCCAGTTGCCAGCCGGCACACCCTGAGGCGCGCAACGCTCGGCCGCAGCGCCGGCCGGGACACCCGTGCGACGATGGGCGCCGCTCTCTGCTGCACCACGGCCCATGCCAGCGCCGCCGCCGCCGTCGCCGCCGCTGCCATGTAGGCAGCGCTGCAGGCCACAGCCCCGGGTGTGCGCCCTGGCACCGCTGGCGGTGCCCCGCCGCCGCCTCAGGCCACCATCAAGTCCTTCTTGAGGATGTTCTTAATCGTCTCCGCCGTCATGAGCCCCTCGGACCGCAGCGCGGGCTTGCTGTCGTCGGTGCCGATGAAGATCATCGTGGGCAGGCCGGCGATCTGATTTTGGGGGCAGGGTGGAGAAAGGGGGGGGGGAGCGGAAAGCGTGGCCGGCGGCGCGTGGGTCAGGCAATGACTGCAAGCGGAGGCGGCCGGGACACTTAGCATACATCACAGCATTTGAAGCCGGGTCTCGAGGGTACACCACAACTGTTTGCGCATCCACGAATGTGCACACAAGTATGTGGCACCCGGGCGCACGGGCGCACGCACGTGTACACGCCCTCACAAACACCCAACCAGGCACCTGCAGCTGTGACGCAAGCTCGGGGTTCTCATCCACGTCGAGCTTCAAGATGTCCACCTTGTCCCCCATCTCCTCCGCAACCTGCGGAACAAGACCGGGCCACGCGGCGCTCATAGTGAGAGTTGGGCAGGCCGTCCGGCGGGGGCGGGACGCGGGCGCAGGCGTAGGTGCTGGGGGACCTGGGCCGGGGGTGGGTGCTGGCCCGGGCCGTGGCGTCAAACGCCGCACAGCATGCAAGGTGTGTTCACAGGGGGAGTAGCCGCGAGGTGGGGCAGCGCTGCGGCCCTGCCTGCAAGCTCCTCATTGCAACCGCCGCTCGACGGCGCGACGACTGTGCGCCGCCAGGTGCAGCGGCAGAGCCAGTGCCAAGTGCACACGGCTTCAGGCGGAATGCGTGTCCCTTTGCATGTTTGGGTGGCAGCCGCTATGGACGCATGTAACGCACCTTTTCGAGCTCCTGCGCCAGCAGCAGGCACGGCCCGCACCACGTGGCTGCGCGCGCGACGTGGCATGCGGGGGTCATGTGGCGCGGGGGCTGCTGCGAGGGGCACACGTGTCGCGTGCATGCATCCATGCGTGCCACGAAGCCCGGTCCAGCGCAATAGGCACGCGCCGTCGAACGCGATGCATTGCCGTCGGTTCATACTCCGTCGCCGCCTCACCGAAAAAGTCGACAAGAATGGCCTTGTCGCGGTTGGCAATGGCCACCTCGAGCTCCTCAGGGGTCACCTTCTGGACCTGCAGCAGCCACACACGGCCCAAGCCATGCGGGGTGCGTCGTGCGGCGCAGGTCACCATTGGGAGGCAGCGGCGGCGGCGCGGCAGGGGTCGATCATGCAGTCCTTCGTTCAAGGCGCGGGCATGGTCAGGCGGCACACCAATCCAGACGAGCTGTATTCGGCCCATGTGATTCCGAGGGGACTCACTTTGCCTGCATGAGCAAGCACTGCCCGAGCAGGGCGAGCAAGGCCCTGGCTGCGCGGGACCGCCAAGACGTTGTGCAGGCGTGCTCTCTGCTGGAGCTGCCTGCTGCTGCTGGAGAGGTTGCTGCGCTGGGCCAGCATTGTGCGAGCGGAACCTTTCTTGTTCAAGCGATCGCAGCAGCAGACCCTGCAGCGTGACAGACGACTATTGACTATTTGAACGAAGTATTAACACAACGCATATGATCAATAAGGACAGGGGCCCTCCAGCATATAACGAGAGCCAGTGCGGGCGGGTTTCGTGGTGCCTATCCACCGTATGAAGCGACAACCAGATATGCTGCAGAATCCAGATTATATAATAACCATATGAGCAGGGCCGTGTCCAGGCTGACGGCCGCCTCCCCTGGCGTACCTGGCCCTGGTCGACCACACAGTGGACACCTCAACGACAGTGCCCTGCACCTCATGCAGTTGTGATGCACCTGTGAGCAAGAATAGCGCACCAGGGCCCCTGAAGCGTCCTGTTTGGTTGGGTGTTCTGGCCCAAAGCTCATCCTACAAATGAGCGCCCCAGCATGGTCACGAGCTGCAGCTGCCCATGCAAGATGGGCTGCAAGATGTGCACTGGTTGGGGCCACACCGGTCGGCTGGCAAATACTGGAGTTGCACACCTCGAGAGCAAAAGCAAACATGGAAGAGCTGATTTGCCTGATTCCGTGCAAAATCATGGATTTCAGTCACCGCAACACCTGGTGGTGTTGGCGCCAGGCCGCTGATGTCCCGCAGGACGCAAAACATCCGAATGAGTGGGTTACACTATGTCACAAGCTTGTTGTAGGGCGGCTTCTAAAGCCTGGGCCATGATTCTGGCTTGTATCGTCGCAGTCTGCACATAAGCCCATCCTGGAGGCAGTCCGCTCCGGTCTGGTTGCAAGGTTGTCACGGCGTCTCACCTTGCAAGCCGAGCAGCCGTTTGGACATACACCGCATTAAAGCTATACCCCAAGCAAGGCGTACAGCCCACCAGCAAAGGACCTGGGATACCGAAGGGGTGAGAACGGGCCGGGCTGCTGCCAACGCCGACTGCGGCCAAAAACTTTCAACAAAGAAGATACACTATCCGCTCATAACAAACCAGCAGATGTGGCGGACCGTTCCATTCGCGAGTCCAGTCCACTTTCCTTGCAAGTAGTTGTTCGTTGCGGAGACCAGCACTCCTTGTGGTGACATTGATGTGGGCGGAGACCAGGGGGCGGAGACGGGCAGGCACAGGCGCCGCTTGGGGGCCAGTTCTTCCCGGCGGCCCGGGTGTCTCGACGTCTAACCTATGTTGAATCAAACGGACCCATCTTCTGAAACAAATTGACAGTGCAGAGGGGCCGCGGTCAAAGCGGGGACGTTGGTTGGATGGCGTAAACCTCGCCCTCCGCGGTGCAGCCTCAGGCAAACGGAATATATAGCGCTCATAGGATCAGCACAACGCCTTCCCAGCAGCCCATCATCAGGTGAACACCTCCCCGCAGCGAACTTGGTTGGCTCATTGGCCACGATCGCGAGCCTCCACGGGCGTAGAAGGATCGTGTGCATTTATCTAATTGCGCTACTATCGCGTGCCGCACAGGGCGCAAGGCAAGCTTGCCCGTCCGGCGTGCCGCTTTGGCGGGGCACACTGTCACTGAGCAGCTTGACTTGGCAGCTCGCTCGAATGATGGCGGCTCGGCCTCAGTAGGGCACGCTGGCAGTCACTCAGGACACCTGAACGGCAGTGGCAGCTCGGGCGGTGAGTGGGCTGTGTGTGCGAGCACTGGTCAACCCGCACCTCGAGACGCGGCAGAAGTGGTCGTGCCTGCCATGGTGCGAATGGCACCGCCGACGCCCGGCTTACCTTTTACCCCATCCGCCACACACGTGGATTTGTCGGTCTTTGGCACATGTGATCCCAGTGCAGCTGGACGCTCACCTGCGCATCCCCCCGCCCACAACAATCCAACCATGCTCCACAACCGCCAGGGGTGCACTCAAATGGACACACCGCAGCAGCACCAGGAGGCCGGGTCTCTTGGCACCGGGGTCCCCAAACGCCGAGAATCTGCAGCAGCTGTTGTAGGAACAGCCACCTGCGATATGGGGTCAAAAGACCAGATCGCTGCTGAGTCAGCCGGCCCCGCCCCCCGCCCGGCGCACCACCTCGGAGGCCTAGAAGAGCATGAGGCGCGCGGAGCGGCCGCTGCCGCAGACGACGGCCGGTGGGCCGCGCAGCCGCCGGTGGCCGCGGCCCTGTGGGTTCGGGCAAGCCAGGTCGGAGACGTCGGCGAGAGCCTGGAACTGGCAACGTCTATGGGCGCGCCGTTTGCCGTCGTCGGAACCCCACACAGAGCGTCGCAGGCGGCCCCAACTGACGCCGGCTGGGATCCCCAGCAGCACCCGCAGCACCCGCAGCACTCGCAGCAGCAGACAGCAGGGCAGGGCGATGATCAGCGGCCACGATGCGCGCAGCTGCAGCTGCGGGATGCCATCTTCGCCGGCGTCATGGAACCGCTGGAGCCGCGGCCGCCAGGGCCCAGCGCGGCCGGCGACGCCGGGCGCCCGCCGCCGCCGTCGCCGCCCACTCCGCTCGACCCCCTGGCGCTGCTGCGGATGTCAATGCTCAACCCTGAAATGCCCCTCGCGTCCCCGCCCTCGGCCGGGGCCGGGGCCGGCGGCGCTTCGTCCGGCGGGCTCGGGGCCGCCGCTGCGGGCGCCGGCGGCAGCGGCGCCGGCGCGGGGCGCGCGGCCGCCGCCACCACCGCCGCGGCGGCGGACAAGGGGGTGGGCTGCGACGAGGAGATGACGTGGCAGCGGCGGAGGCGGGTTAGCGCAGTGGTGCGGGAGGAGCTGGCTGAGGTGGCGAAGGCTCTGGAGGCTGGGTTGCCGCAGGTGAAGATTTGGACTCACTAGAGGTGGCTGCCACGAGCCGCATGGCCCGTGTGGAGGCGGGACGTGTACGCGCGTAGTGTGTTGCGGCTTGACTGCATGAATGCGTCCCAACCCTCGCCCGCTCGGCGCCCTCCCCCTCCCCCTCTCCCCAGGCCTCCCGGCCCTTGCGCCGCCAGACCTCCTTCCCCGCGATGCGCGGCCCCGAGGACTCCCCTCAGACGCATCTCATCCCCACGCCTAGCGGCCCCCCAAGCGGAGCTGCGACGCCCGGCATGTCCTCCCCTGTCGTCGGCATCGCTGGCAACGGCAACGGTGGCAGCAGCAGCAACATCGGCTACCGCAGCGCGTGGCAGCAGCAGCAGCCGCGGCTGCTGCGGGCCAGCCTGCTGCAGGATGTGCCGGCGGCGCCGCCAGCTGCGGTCGGGCGGAAGCGGCCGGCGGACGCGGCTGCAGAGCAGCTGGCTGCCAAGGTCCTCGCGGCGCACAAGGTGCGGCGGACGCAAGCATGTGCATAGTGCCACTTTCAGCTGCCTGATGTGCTTGTGTTACGCGTAAGACTGCCATGAGCACAGCAGACAGCCGTGTCCTGATGGGACGCACGCCACACAGCACACGAAGAAAACACACACATTCAAACACACATACACATACACACACACACACACACTGCTGCAGGGCAACTGGGTGTCTGCCCTCCACAAACTCGCCAGCGCCGTGGGCCGCCAGCTGCAAAACGCCAGGGACGCCCCCAGCTTGGAAAGCGACGGCCCCGACAGCGGCGGCGCCGGCGATCACCAGCAGCAGCAGGCGCCGCACCCGGGGCCGCAGCCCCAGCTGACTGAGCCAGAGATCGCGGCACGGGAGGCGCGCCTCAAGCGCGTGCTCGTGCACGGCACCCGCGCGGCGAGGGCGGTGGCGACGCAGGGGCCGGGCGCTGCGGGCGGCGTGCACGCGTCCGCGTCGGCGGCCGCGGCTGGTCAGCAGTGGCAGCAGCTCCAGCTCGACCAGCAGCAGCAGCAGCAGCAGCAGCAGCAGCAGCTTCCCGCGACCCCGGCCTTCCAAAATACGCAGCGGCAGCTGCAGCTGGGCCCTCACGACCAGCCGCCGGGCGGCCCGCCGGGCGCCGCGGACTCCCCCCTCGGGTGCTCGCCCCCGGGGCCGGCGCTGCCGCAGGCGTGGAACGCCAGCGCCCCCATGCCCCACCAGCGGCCGCGCCCCGGGCCCTCAAGGCTCGCGCACCAGAGCAGCCTGCAGGCATGGCACACGGCTTTCCAGGAGGAGGCAGCGGCACTGGAACAGGCAGAGGCCCTCTGTTCGGCAGAGGCGCCGCCGGCGCAGCTGGCGCGGCCGCCGTCGCCGCAGGACCCGGTGCTGCGGCTGCAGCAGCTCCACCTGCAGCAGGTCCAGCTGGCGCTGCTCGGCCAGCCGGCGCCCGAATTCCGGCCGGACGTGGCCGCGGCCGCGGCAGGGCAGCTGCTGTCCGCGGCGCCGGCGGCCCTGCTGCAGCAGCGGCTGGCCGCGTACCTAGACGAGCCCATCATCAGCCTCAAGGAAGCACGCCGCGAGGCGCGCAGCCGCAGCTCGACGCCTGCCTTTGGCACGCCACGTGCGGGGCAGGCAGCCGCCGCCGCGGCGTCGCACCCGTTCGGCGCGGCTCCGGTCGCCGGCGGCGCTGCGGCGATGGACGTCGACGCGGGGCACGGCGCCGGGGCCCCGGGCCATCAGATGGATGAGGAGGATGATGAGGGGGACGACCCGATCGCGGCGCAGCTGGCGGGGGCAGCGGGGGCTGCGGGCTGCGGCGATCTTGACCTTGCGGGGACCGAGCGCTTTGACTTTGACCTGGTCGAGCCCGAGGCTGCGGCGGCCGTGGGGGCCGGCGGCGGCGGCGGCGGAGGCGGCGGCCACGTTGTGCCCGTAACGGGCGAGCTGGCGCAGCTGCGGCCTCACCAGCTGGCGCGGGCGGCGCACCATTATCACCAGCAGCAGGTCGTTTTGCAGCAGCATGCGCAGCTGCAGGCGGCGCACTTACAGGTGCAGGGGGCAGCACTGGTGCCCCAGGCCCCTGCTGAAGTGAAGTGCGAGGACGGGGCGGTGGCGTTTGGCGCTGCACTGCAGCTGCAGCTGCAGCCCCAGCCGCAGCCCCGGCCGCCGTCACCGCAATAGGCGGTGCTGCAGCACCTTTGGGCCGAGCATCCCACAATCCGGCTGATTGACCGTCACCAGCAATAATCACTGCACTCTGTCGAGCAAGCGCATGCTCATGCCTGTTGGCCGGCAGCTCCACCACAGCTGTCACAGGTGCAGCCGTGTGGTCCTATCACCCAAGTCGCCATGCTGATGGTCCTATGACCCAAGTCGCAAGGTCCTTGCTGATGTGGCGCAAAGCCAACCACCTTCCTTCAGTCCCCCACCACCTGCCATGCTGCTGTCATATGCCCTCAAGTGGCAAAAGTGACGGGAGCCAGCCCTTGGGGATTGTCTGCACGTAACTACAAGTTTATGCAATTGATATCTGAGTGGTTGTAACAATTAATGCATTCTTCAAAATGCCTGGTGACAAGCAAGCGGGTCGTGAGGGGTGACCGGCCGTCGCGCACTGCGCCGCACAAGCGTGCCTTGTACTTTGAGGCAACCAGCCACTGCCATAGGGATGTCCTGGCCGTTGAGCGTGATTTCAAAAGGCTTCTGGAAAACTACAGGCCTTATGAGCACCTTTTGGGTCCTGCGCGTGCACGCATCCCAATACCTCGGCGGCACGGAATCCCTGATGGCAGAGTTGACCGCCTGGTCAAAGGCGCGGTGGCGCCAGCCAGCGTCACACACCTGCTCTGATGCTGGATGAGATTGGCTTGCGGATGCTACACGTAGCTGACTTTTGGCGGCATGCATATCGTGGAAACAAGCCTGCAACGAACGAACACACCGTTGGTCGTGGTCTGTCAGCAGCGGGCTTGTCAGGAGGAGCGCACCAGAATCATCAAGCAGTATTACACTGCGCTTATATTGCCAGCTTATACCGTCAGCGGGGGCCGAAAGGCCTGCAAGGTGACGATCCTGTGACCGTGCAGGGTGATAGAAGCGTGCTTTCCTTCCGCCGCTGCTCAAGACATTTCTCGGATGTGTCTGTATGCGTCTGAGGGTTTGGCGAGCTGCTGGCGGCTATGCAGGGCTTGCGCGCCTTTGGCGCGCCTTTCGTTGAACACGGCTGCCCTCTCCCTCCACTCCTCCCCAGGGACGAAGGACATCGCGATCGTGATGGGCATCTAATACGCCTCGCAGCCATGAGCGAACTGGTGCATCCCCCGTCGCCGACGCTGGGCGGTGACAGCGGGGACGATGACAACAGCAACTGCATCGCGCCGCAGTCGCCAGGCGCGCGCTTGGCGCAGGCGGGGCACGGCCTAGGCGGCCTCACGCTGCCCTCCAGTGGCAGGCAGCAGCCCTTGAAGCCGAGGGCTGCGGGGTTTGGCGCCCCGCCTCACAATGCGCCCGACGCGATCGGGCGCAGGATCCGTCTGAAACGCGCGCGCGCCGTCGCCGATGCCGCCGCCGCCCTGGCCGCATCCTTCCCACCAACGCCCGCCGCGGCACCTGCTGAAGCACCAGCTACAGAAGAGTCGCGTCCACCGCGTGCGGCCAAAGCACCCAAGCGGCCACGGAAGGACGGCGGCGGCGCCGGCCGCGGCTGCGGGCACGCGGGCGGGCGCCGCTACAGCGCTCAGCAGAAGCGGCAGGTTCAGGCAGGCGACGCGGGCCCATCGCAGGACACAGAGGCTGCGGCTGAGCCGGAGGCGAGCGGCGCTGTCCAAAGACAGGCTGCGCTGACGCCGGGTGCGGCGGTGGCGGCGGCGGCGCAGGCAGGGGATGCGGACGCGGCGCCCCAACCTGATGACTTTGGAGCCCAGCCGTGCAGCCGGAGGGTCAGCACAGACGCCCCTTTCTCGGCCAAGCTGCCGGCGGCGCAGGCGCACCCGGCCCCTGTGCCGACTGCGGCCGCGGCGGGCGGTCCCCAGGCTGACACTCCAGCTGACGACGCCGGCTTTGCCGCCGCGTGGGAGGCGGCGTTTGCGCCCTCGGCTGCGGCCGCACCGTCGGCCGCGCCGGACGCGCTGCAAATGAGCTCAGTCGAGGCGGCGGCTGCCGCCGCCGCGGACGCGGCAGCTGCCGCTGTTGCAGCCGCAGCTGCCGTCGCCGCAGACGCGGCGGCGGCGAGGGCAGGACCCTTGTACCCCGCCGCTCCCAGCAAGCAGGAGGCGGCGACGCTCGCGTTTGGGGTGCCGATGGTACCCATGCTGCCCACTGGGGCCTATGAGCTGCTCTCCGCCACCAGTGCCGCGGCCACGCTGCCGGCCGTCCCCAAGCCTGCGGCGCCTGCGCCGTCGGCCTGCGCCAATCCCGGCCGGCTGATCCCCAGCTTCGCCACGGTCCAGGCCCGGCTGTGCGCGCCGCTGGGAGAGCCCGGCACGGCACACTCCACGGCCCTCTCCGCGTCTCCTCAAGAGCCGCAGGCGCACCAGGCCCGCATGCCGCAGGCCCGGCCCCCGCTTCTGGTTCCCAGGCCGCCGTCGGCGCAGCCGCCGCAGCAGCAGCAGCCGCCGCAACAGCAGCAGCCGGCCGGGACGCTCGCCGCGCCTGGGGCGCAGCAGGGGATGGCTGTTCAGATTCCCACCCGACGCCTGAGCCAAAGATCTTTCTTCTTTGAAGATATTGCCACAAAGTCGATCGCCACCCTGACCGCCGCCACCGACGCGGCGCGCGCCGCCGCGCCCCCCGCCAGCGCCGGCGCCGGTGGCCGCAGCGCCGGGGCGGCGGGAGGCGCGGCGGCGTCATGCAACGGCGACGGCGCTGCCGCCGGCGCTGCGGCCGGGCAGGAAGCTGCGGAGCAGCAGGCGCAGGGGAGGATGTCGGTTGGGTCGCTTCCCAGCTGGCCAGCGCCGCAGACGCAGGCACATGCACAGGGCCGGGCGCAGGCGCATGCCGCGGGCCCGGCGGAAGCGGGGCCGGCCGCGCAGCCGAGCACGACTCAGAGGATGGCATCTGCCCCCAGCCTGCCACATCAGATCCCGGGCAGCAGGCAGCCCTCCGGCACCCCGCCAGCGCCCGCGCGCCCTGGCCGCGGCCCGACGTCGAGCGCCACCGGCGCCAGCGCCGGCGCGGCTGCCGACACGCCGGGCGCCGAGGGCCCGGGGCGCCGGGCCTCGCTGGCCGGAGCCGGCGCCACGGCGCGGCCGCCGAAGTCGGACCGCCAGACCGGCTGGGAGGCGATCAGCCGCGTGACGCAACTGCTGCAGCAGCCGTCCCTCGGCCGGGACGCCGCGGCCGGCCTCGCCGCCGTCGCCGGCGGGCTCGCCGCGGCGGCCGCGGCCC